GAATAGAATAGAATAGAATAGAATAGAATAGAATAGAATAGAATAGAATAGAATAGAATAGAATAGAACAGAATTCTTTATTGATCAAGTCTGATTGGACACAAGGAATTTGTCTTCAGTGCATAAGTTCTCAGTGTATATAAAAACATAGATGATAAGTCATGACTATCGTCATCATAAATACATTCATCATAAATCATAAGATACAACACTTAGTGATAGTCACAGGATACTAAATAAGCAATCAACATAATCATGCTAGTAAACAAAATAAAGCAATATAAATCGTAAAGATACAAGCAACGAAGTTATAGTCCTAAGTAGACAAGGAGATAGGTAATAGGAAAGATGAGAAAAATGATAGTAACACAGGCTTAGTAAATATTGACTACTTGGCATAGCACTTAGATTTATATACCATTTCAGAGGGCTTTACAGCCCTCTCTAAGCAGTTTACTGAGTCAGCCTGTTGCCCCCAACAATCTGGGTCCTCATTTTACTGACTTTGGAAGGCTAGAAGGCTGAGTCAACCCTGAGCCTTTGAGAATCAAACACCTGGCTGTGGGCAGAATCAGCCTGCAATCCTACACTCTAACCATTGCTCCACCACAACTACGCACCACAGAAATGCACAAACATGACTAAAGAGATAGGGAACATTGCTATCAAGACAAGATGTTGTCTTTCATTCAGGTTCCTTGTCTTACAACCACAACTGAGCCCAAAATTTCTACTGCTAAGCGAGACATTTTCTGGGTGAGCTTTGCCCCGTTTTTATTACCTTCCTTGCCATAATAGTTAAGTGAATCACTGCAGCTGTTAAGATAGCAACATGGGCTATTAAGTGAATCTGTCCTCCCCGTTGATGGCGGCCCAGTGGTTAGAGTGCAGTACTTCAGGCTACTTCTGCTGACTGCCGGCTGCCTGCAATTTGGCAGTTCGAATCTCAACAGGCTCCAGGTTGGCTCAGCCTTACCATCCTTTCCGAGGTGGGTAAAATGAGGACCCAGATTGTTGGGGGCAACATTCTGACTCTGTCAACCGCTTAGAGAGGGCTGTAAAAGCACCGTGAAGTGGTATATAAGTCTAAGTGCTAAGTCCTATTGCTTTGTTTGTCTGAAGGCGGCAAAAGGCGATCACATGACTCTGGGACAGTGCAACCGCCATAATTATGAGCCAGTTTTCAAGCATCTGAATTTTGATCCTGTGACCATGGAGATGCTGCAGTGGTCATAAGCGTGAAAAATAATTATCACGTCTCTTTTTTCCGTATCATTGTAATTTCAAATGGTCACTAAGTGAAGGACTACCTGCATTATTTTTACAAATCACTCAAGGCAGCGAACATATCCAGCACACCTCTCTCCTCCTTCGCCATTGCACAAATCATAAAATATTTTCTAACACGATTGCTGCTCTTGATCTTTATTTTATAAGCGATTGTATTTTATTTCGCTTTAGGTGCGATAGCTACAGGAGGCCCAGTGGCCTTAGGAGAGTCAATCTGAATATATAAGCTAGGTGGTGGAGAGACAGAGCTGCCCTGTGCTTGATTTTTGATGTTGCATTCTGAAACATCTCACATCGCTGCTCGTGTTGCTGGAATTAAGTGGACAAATAAGGGTAACTACTTGGTTTTCTTCATCGGAAAACCAGTCACCCTGGGGTGGCTTATATTTGATCTCCAGAAGCTCCTTCGGTGTGACATGATAGCGGCATGCCAATATCTCAGGGACAGCCACAAAGAAGAGGGAGTCAAGCTATTCTCCAAAGCACCTGAAGGCAGGACAAGAAACAATGGGGGGAAGCTAATCAAGGAGAGAAGCAGTGTTGGGATTCAAATATTTTTTACTACCGGTTCTGTGGGCGTGGCTTGGTGGGCGTGATGTGGCTTGGTGGGCATGGCAGGGGAAGGATACTGCAAAATCTCCATTCCCTCCCCACCCCACTAACCTGCTTTCCAGCTCCATTCTCCTGTGCAGGGCAACCAAAGAAGACCCAGCTGATCAGCTGGGACTCAGGAGGCAGAGAATAGATGTGGGGGGGGGGCAGTCAGAGGTGGGATTTGCTGGTTCTCTGAATTATGCAAAATTTCCACTACTGGTTCTCTAGAACTGGTCAGAACCTGGTGGATACACACTTCTGGAGAGAAGCAACATAGAACTAAGGAGAAATTTCCTGACAGTGAGAAGAACTTGCCTCCAGAAGACAGCCATTTGTCTCAATTAGTATAGGGTTTCCTGCCTGAGCAGTCGGTTGGACTAGAAGATCCCCAAGGTCCCTTTCAGCTCTATTCTTTTTTTTTTTAAAGATAGAATAGAATTCTTTATTGGCCAAGTGTGCTTGGACACACAAGGAATTTGTCTTGGTGCAAATGCTCTCAGTGTACATAAAAGAAAAGATACATTCGTCAAGAGTCAAGAATCATAAGGTGCAACACTTCATAATAGTCATAGGGTACAATAAGAAATCAAACCATACAAGGAAACAGTCAATATAAATTGTAAGGATACACGCAACAAAGTTACAGTCCTACAGTCACAAGTGGGAGAGGATGGGTGATAAGGAGTGATGAGA